CAAATTACCAAGAGCCCGTATCAAAAAATAAAGAGTGGGGGCTGGGGATTTAGCTCAGCGGCATAAGCGCCTGCCTTGCAAGCAGGCAGTCGTGAGTTTAATCCCCGGTAACGATAAAAAGGAAAAAGACCAAAAAATAAAAAATAAAGAGTGGGAGACAGTGTTCAGTGGTATAGTGTTTGCCTAGCATGCATGGGGCCTTGGGTTCAATCTTCAACTGCACTCCCCCCATCAAGCTCGAGACCACTGATACATTCTAAAACCCAACCAATTATAAAATATCCCTCTTAATTGTTTTTCAGGGTTTTTAAAAATTAGTACATATTTGCAGTATATAACAGTTACACTCCTCTTGGGGAGTTGGTACAAACATATCTTAATTCTTTAAGTATCCATCTCACCAATGTGATGTTTCAAAAGAGAAGTAAACTACATAAAACATGTAGATAAACTAAGTAAACCAATTACAAAGATGTCAAACTATGATTAAAACGGTTCTTAGAAGCAAGAAAACAGGTGGAGAAAAGACAAAGTATGATTTAGGATTGGAAGTGGCTTCAAAAGGTTGGTCATTTTATAGAAATTGAAACTTGGCCTTATTAATGTCTTTTGCAACTAGTGGCAGCAGACTGGAAGACAGATGATTCCTATTCCAAAGATTTCTCAATTATTCTGCAAATTATACTTATATACAGCAGTAAGTATTTATATATAGCCCTACGTCTCCAAAGTGTTTTGAGTTTGTCTGGTATGGACACCAGACAGCCCCAACTCAGGCTGCCTGAGGCAGGAGACAGTGTGTGACCAAACTGGTTTGGATAGCCTAAGAATGCTTTGGCACCTTAGCAAAAAAAAAAAAAAAAAAGAAAAGAAAAAGAAAGAAAGAAAGAAAGAAAGAAGAAAAAGAAAAGAAAAGAAAAAGAAAAAAGAAAAAAACCCGACAAAACAAAATACAGTTTATAAGATCAATAACTGTGGAAACTAGTGAGTTTTTCTGCCATTTGTGAGAAAACATTTTAGAGATAAGAAATGTCAATACTGTAATGTAAATAAGTTTCTGGTTCCATTGTCAGCTACACGAATGAAATATATCCTCTCTAACTGACTGAATAATATGGGGCTCAAAAACAAAAAGTTTAAAGAAAAATGTTATTGTTAGAAGTTAAAGTGGATTTACAAAAATAAACTGGATTGAGTCTACTGTACAGATGGATTCTCTCTATAGCACGTGTTTAAAACAGTAAAACTGTAATGCATTCACAATAAGATGTGCACAACTAAAATCTGGGAGCATATCTTTTGAATAGAAAAAGTCATGCTTTTAGTGAAAAGCATTTAATTTGATCAGGACAAAATAAAGTTCAGATCATACTCATAAGATAAGCACAGGGTTAGATACTCGTCAGGCAAAACTTTTCCTCTCAACTGACACTTCTAATACAAAAAACATCAAATTATGGAGAAGAAAAGTGAGAGAGAGAGAGAGAACGTGAACATACAGTTGGTAGAATTCAAAGAAAGCTGTTAAACCCACCCCAATTAAAAATTTGATGATTAGGAGCCCTTCTTTGTACAGCATGTTCCATGAAACCTGGACACTAAAAATGCAGGTTTTTATTTTACATTTCAAACTTAGGAGCTCTGAACAGAAAGCATTTTTTAATATTTCAAAACTGTGAGCCTAAGAAAGAAGTTACATTTTAAGTTCACCAGATACTCATATCCTGCAGAAACTGTGTTTTGTGCTTTTTTTTTGGGGGGGGGGGTCTTTTTCCTTTTTATTGGTACCGGGATCGAACTCAGGACTGCCTGCTTACAAGGCAGGCACTTATGCCATTGGGCTAAATCCCCAGCCCCTGTTTTATGCTTCTTATAGCAATTTAAAACCATTGTTCTACACCAAGACAAGTCAGTAAAACAAGTTTTAAAGTTACATTTTACACATAAAACATCTCTTGCACAAAGTTAGTTATGTTTGAAATAGAACCCCAACTCAAAAACCAACAACCTCTTTTGTGTTTATTTTATACTATGTAGCCAACAGTGTGACCTACTGCAGGGAAGACACACAGTTCATTCTTTTATTACACTGGGGAGGAAAGACATGGTTGGTTTTGCGGTATCAGGGTCTGAACCCAGGGCCTTCACAGAGTTACAATCCCACCTTTTTCTTGAGACAAGAGACTTGCCAAATCACTAAGTTCCTGAGGCTGGCCTAAAACTTGCAATCCTCCTCACACTGCCACAGTGTTAAGATTACAGGTATGCACTACCACGCCTGGCTGATGGTCTCTATCTTTAAAAATCTGTAGAATATGCTTAACAATTCCCATGTTAGGTATGACATAGTCCTGAAGTCCTTACCATGGAGGATTCTGGTGAGTGGAGAAAGTAGAGCTCATATATAGTGCACAAAAGCAAAAAACAGAATCACAGTTAATTTACGTGAAAAAATTTGCTCCGGAAGTCATGGGAACATTCCTGAACACAGGGTTCTTTTTTCTATCTGTCTGTCTGTCTTTCTCTCTCTCTCACACACACACACATACACACACAAATCTTTGTCACACAACCCAGCCACATTCTTGGCCAGATAAACCCACAAATTGATAGTCAAGTAAAGAGAATCAAATTTAATCCCAGATTTATATGACCCAAGGGAAAAGTTACAAACCAATACTCCCTGTCCACACAACACTCAAAGACACACAAACACCCAAGACACTTCACGCAGCTCCTCATCCTTCATGTGCTTCTGCCACCCTCCCCCCACTTTCCCAGTATGGTCCATTGACATCTGCTACGGGGAAAGACTTCAGAGCACAGCAGTCCAGCATGTCCAAAGCAGCTGAACATACAGGTGTAGGAATGGTTGGGAGAAGAAAAGAGAAATGATTTTGAGTTTGGTTTCAAAGATTATGGGTAATGTCTGGCTTGGTGGCACACACCTGAAATCCCAGCTACTCAGGAGGCTGAGACAAGAAGAATGAAAATGAAAATTCCAGTCAGGTGTGTTGGTATGAACCTGTTAACCTAGCACTCAGGAGACTGAGGCAGGACAGCTGAGAGTTCAAGGCCAGCCTGGACTATATTGTGAGTTCCAGCCTACATTACGTAGTAAGATCTTCGATGCTTTAAAAAAAAAAAAAAATGAAGTCAAACAGAGCAACTCAGCAAGACCTTGTCTCAACAATAAAGAAGCCAGGGATGTAGCTCAGTGCTCCCTGGGTTCACTCACGCATTTTGGAAAATAAAATAAAGTTAACAAAACAAAACAAAAAAACCCCACAAAACACAACAAACTCTACTTTCAAGAATGCTGTATTATTTCCACTCTCAAGCTAAATTGCTTAAATAACAATGTTTTCACATAATACTAGAATGGATACATTTTGAAAAACTACAAACTATTAAATTTGACAATTTGAAGGCTAACAAATTATTAATAGATAATGCATGATCTGTTGGGCCCCTAATATGCACCTGCTTCTGGGCAGACAAGCCAACTAAAACCCAATAAGCTCACAAGAAAGCTAACTGAGGGGGCACATAAACCAGCCAATATAATACGGTAATAACTGCTCAGCGAGCTCACAGGAAGATGCATTTTACAGGATGGACGAGACTGGAATGCAAGAGAAGGTGCCGTCAACCAGCAGGCAACATTCTTGGAGGGCCTCTCTGAAGCGCCTGTGTATACTATGGAAAGAAATGGGCACATGAATGCTGGACCAAACGTGGCCAAAAGACGATATGCACGAGAAACTAGCAGAGCTGGAGCTTGGGAGAGGAAGCAGAATGTAGAATGCTCAAACTAAACTCAAACTAAACTCTCAAAAATGGGCTAGAAGTCCTCACACTTTGCGAGATTAAACTGTTCGTGAACTTTAACCCTAGAAGACAGGTAGCTCCAACAACGGCAGGGTCACACCTGCGGTTGAAGTTGCTAAATCTTCAGCTGCACAACAAACGTGTATGTTTAGCAAGTAACTTCAAGTGTGTACTTCACAAATCATCTTTGATTCCAGGCTAAAATTACTTCCTCCTGCCTTTAAAAATGATTTATGTTTCTGCTACTAATTACAGTACAAAAATTACAGGTGTGTTCTCAATAAATATCAAAGACTGAAGGGAAAAAGTTACAGTTGGCAATAGCTTCAACCAAGGATACAAACCAAAGCCTTCATACCCGTGAGGCCACGCTTGATTAAAGTTTGTATCACAATCATGTCCAGATGAAAAGAATCACAGCCAATCCGATTAATTCCTCTGCCTACTACTTCTTTAAGTTCTTAAAACTAACTTCAAAGAACAAGTTTCCACTGTCCAGTATTTCTAAAGTTTCACCACTTCCAGGGATCGTAAACTGCAGCTCCGGAACCGGCCCAAGGAATTTCTTGGCGCCCCGCTAGTGTCCACCTCGGTCTAGCAAGGAGGATCGAGTTGTCACTTTGAACACACGTTCGTTCCTCCTCCTGGAGGTAGGGGTGACCCTGGGCACATCTCCTCTGGGGGTGTGTGTGCTAGGTCCCACGGCGCCGGAGACCAGGGGAACGGACAGCAGAGACAGCACGAGGGGGAAGGAGCGACGCGGGGACGCTAGGCCGGGGGAGGGGACGCGGCCCGGCGCAGGACACGCTCGGAGGACACTCAAAAGGAGGCTCGTGCCAAAACAAAAACAACCGAAAGTTCAGCGCGGCGGCGGTAGCAGATTGGGCGAGCCCGTTCACGGCTGCCCATTGGAGAAGAGGAAAAACAGAGTCCCCCAATCGCAAGCGGCGCGGCTGCTCCCCTCGTGCGGCCGCGGCCCGGCCCCGACGCTGCCCGGCGGCCGCTATCGCTCCCTTCCGGCCGCGGCCACCACTGCAGGCCGCCTGCCCCGCAGCCCCGCCCCGCAGGCCACTCGCCCCGGCCCGGCCCAGTACCTGCCCGGCCACCGCGGCCCCTCACGCCCCCGCCCGGCCGCCCGGCGCCGCAGCCGCCCGCCTTCCCCGGCTCACCGCGGCCGGCCGATGCCGCTCGGGCGCGTTCGAGGCCCCGTTGCCCGGCCACTGCGACGGGAAAGGGGGACCCACGCTGCCGGGCCACTCTTTCCCGTCCCCTCAGAAAATTAATCACCAAAAAATAATTCCACAGAAAAATGGAGAGTAAAATTCAAGATGGCGGCGCGAACCGCAGCACCGCTCGCTCCATCCGCAGTGGGGGAAAAAGGAGTCCCGCCAGCCCCGGGCCTCCCGCCCCGACTCGGCTGCTGCTGCCGCTGCCTCCACTGCGCCCCCGCGCCTGCGCCCCCGGCCTCGGTCCGCCGCGCTCGGCCGCCCTCGCCCTTCCGCTCCAGGCCTCACCTCCACCTGGCGCGCCGCCGCGCGGTCCGAAAAGCATCCGCCGCCCTCGGGGACCGCGTCCCGTGTCCTCGCGCCGCGCGGTGCCTCCTCCGGTCCCCGGGTGTTCTCAGCTCATAGCCCCGGAGCCTCGCCGTCCGCGCCACAGACGCGTCGCCGCCCCCGGTGAGCTACCCGGACACCGCCCGGGCCCGGTGGAAGGACACGAAAAAGAGTCCGTGACCGACGGCGGAGGGACACCACGTCGGCAGCAAACGTGTGCGCCCCTATGTGGCGCTGGCCGCCGCGGTGGCTTCGACGGGATTTTGTGAGATGAGGTGGAGGAACGCCAGGGAGAAAAAAGTTCCTCGCCGGCGTCTCCCGACGGCGGAGGCACAAGAGCGACTTTCGAGAGAACGAGCCGCGTCGTTGCCGTCGCTTCGTCTCGCAGCGGAGGAATCGCGCGAGCGTCGGTACGGGAATCCCTCCGCCTCGCTGCCCTTTAAATCGCGGTGGAGGCGGCGCCGCCGCGCGTCCCGCGGGCGCCACCTAGTTCCCGAGTCGTCTCCGCCGTCCGCCCTGCGGGGCCCCGCGCCCGCCCCCGGCCCTTGAACACCTGCACCTACCAGGGACAGCTCCCGAGCCTCGACTCTGGGGGGCAGCCCGGGACGCGAGGGACGCTTCTCGCTTTCTGCTGCCTCCTGATTGCTTCGAGGGGAGGCGGCCCCGGGAAGCTGAGTTTCTTTGTTGTGGGAATGGGTGTCGCTGGGAGCAGATACACCCTTAAAGACCATGTGGGCAGCCCGAGCATTACAACACGGGAGGAGGGGAGGGAGGGAGCCTGCGTTGGTCAGGCCGCTCCGTGCTGTGTCAGCCGGCCGTTTCTTAAGCACCTACTGGGCGCCAATCTCTCGATGACACCGTGTAATTCCCACCTCTCTTCTTGCGCTCTTTGAGCACCAGAAAGACAGCTGAGTCCTCCAGGAGTTTAGGCAATGAAAGAAGATACCGGGTAGCTTGCAGTCCCGGGATCTTGCAGAGCCCTGCGCCTTAGGTCTTGCAGTGGGGCCATAGTGTACAGACTGACAATAATGAAAAGTAGCATGTGTTCAGCCCTTCCCAGGCACTGATCCCGGACTCTCTTATTTCTTATACCAACCATCACCACCACCACCCTCCACGCACAAGGTAGGAAGCATTGTGTGTCCCAGTTTACACAACAGGGAAACCGAGGCACAACTGGTCACGGTCTGAGGATGAGTCCTTATTCAGTAGTCTGGTGAAAAATGCAGACAGCAAATAAATATTGTAATAAAGCATGTTGTGGTGGCAACCCACTCGGAACCCCTTCTGTGTCTCTCTCAGATTGAAGCTTTTAACCTCAAAAAAAAAAAAAAAAAAATTGTGGATTTCCAAGAAGTTAAGGTTGCCGGTGGATGGTCTCCATGCAGGTATCTTAAAGTCCAACTCACACCAGCTTACCTCCTCTTCCCTCTTCCTTGACCTTGGTAACAGACACGATGTTTCTTATTCCACCAATGGGAAACAGTGACTTGCAGAGGGCACATAGCAGCAGGGAAAATAGGTCTCCATCTTCAAAACCAGAATTCCCTCAACAGCCCTCCCCCGTCAGCTCCAGATGGGCCTCCTTCCTCCACAGGCTACCTTGGGGTAGCAGTGGATCACAGATCCTGGCATCTTTTGTATGCTTCCAACTTCCACTCTGAGACAGCAGGTCATCTGTGGTTTCAGAATCCACCTTGTCAGTCCCAAGTAACTAGTGATTGTTCCAGTCTTGTTCATTCCTGGGTTATCACTAAACTCTTCTTTCCAAGATTTTTGTAATGCTTGACTTCAGATACTTGCATTCCAGAGACACTGCCTCTGCATCCACTCTCATTGCTGAATGCCATGGGAGGTGGGCATACCTTTGGGCACTTACTACCTTATGACACACTTCCACTGTCTTAGTGCCCAGGCTCCAAGTGAAGCCATACCTTGGCAGCCCTTCCTAGCTCCAAATGTCAGTGTCCTCCCCACTCCAATCTTTCCAGAGCCCCACCCCACCACAGCAGTGGATTCCATCGATCCTTCTGACTGACCCAAGCCTCCAAACTCCCAAATGCTGGCACCTCCATTTGTTCCCTGACCAACATCAGTCCTAGTGTTCTGAACATTGCATTGCAAGGGGCAGGGTGGGCCTCCAGTCTGGCAGGTTGAACAGATGAGTGAACTCAGCCCAACCCTGCAGTTCCCATCAGGCTCTGCAGTTCTGGACCACCCTTCCACCAACCCCCTCCATGCTGGAGCAGCCCTGAGCACACAGCTATTGCTTGGGGGCTTTGAGGATCCTGATCCAGGGAGGCCATGGCTGAGCTGAGCAGAGAGCACAGCTAGGAGCCACGCTTCAGGGATGGACCGGAAATTGCACTTCTCTACAGTGAGAGAGGCCAGCTGGAGGAGTCTCCTGCCAGCTGGTGAGGGCGGAGGAGGGGGGACAGGAAATAGGTAGCCAGGCACCTGTCCAGTCCCCATGTGACAGGAGCCACTGGCACTTACACTGTGGAGCCTCTAGGTGCCCCACAAAGCGGAGGCTGAGCCCCAGAGGCCCAGTCAGCCTGGCCAAACTGAAGAAGATTAACAACACTGAAGAAAGACCCCGTTGGAGGAAGGGGTTCAACAAGATTTCCAGAAAGACCCTGAGGTCATTAGACATAACCCAGTCCAGAGTTGGCCCAGGAGCAGTGTCCTTGCCAGGGCACTGACAGAGGCCCCAGTGTCAATTCCAGTCTCCCTAGCCAGGCCAGCTCTGGAGTGCTCAGAGCTCCTCCAGCCACCTAGCCTGGTGCCACCAACCTGCTTTGCTCTCTTAACTCCTCTTTCCAAATGTCAGGTTCACCTAGTGACCAACTCTCAGGGTTTCACTTGCTGGGCATGACTACTGTTCACACAGATGCTGGTTCTGGGCAGGGGGCAGGTTGCTTCTTGTTGGAAAGTGGTATTTAGCTTCTGGACTCTGTATACATCTTTCTCAGCCCCTTGCCCCAAGGGAAGCACTGCTCTCCCATAATCAAGTGTCTAACAGTGGTAGGACATTCTCCTGACCCTCTGGATGGTCAGCTGACTTCCTGGCCATATACTCGAACATCACTAACTCTCTGTAGCATCTTTGCCCTCCGTCTGCTCCTCAGCCACTACCTTCTTTTGACAGATGAAGAAACCGTCTCTGAAATGTGTAGCACATGCCTAAGGCTCCCAGTCAACAGCAGCAAAAATCTACAGCAGCTTCCAGTAGGGCCTGGCACAAGTCTGACCCAGGTTTGAATCCCTGGTGTGCAATTTACTAGCTGCATATTTTGAGGCAAATGATATTGGTTGTTTATTTGTCATTCCCTCTACTGCGGAAAGCCACCAGTTGTGGGACCCGCCTAAATTATCTCATTGAGAGTTTCAAGATCATTTGTAGGGCTGGCTCTGTAGCTCAGCAGCAGTGTGCTTGCCTACCATGTGCAAGACTGTGAACCAGCATCACACACACAGAAAGAGAAAGAGAAAGAGAGAGAGAGAGAGAGAGAGAGAGAGAGAGAGATCATTCATACACTAAAGATGTCCAAAGGTGTCTGTAGCCTGGACTTCTCTGAACTTCAGACACTACTGTGTGGATGTATAATAGGCATGTCAACTGCAGCGTGGCTAAAATTGAACACAGGCACACACAAAAGCTAAGCCCCTCCTCCTGCAAACTGCTGCTTCTTAGCCAGATGTTCTTCCTGTCTCCCAGCTCCAATACCTCAGCCCCTTTCTCCCTTCACGGCAGTCAGGCTTTTTCTTCTCAGCCCATATCATTGCCTGCGCCCTGTGTCTTTGACTTATTTGCAAGCCTGCCAGCTGCCTCTCTTTCTTTTCTAGCCCAAGAGCTTCTCAAGAGAGGGGTCTTTGTCTATCTTGTCTCTCTAGCTTCTAAAACAGCCCCGGAGGCACCAGGGCAGAGGCTTGATTTGTATTCAGGGAAATAGGAAAGGGAGGGAGAGAGGGAGGAGAGAGAGGGTAGTGGACAGGAGGGACCCCATTAACCTTCCTGGATTGCTACAAGGATAAGAGGAGGTGCAAGGGGCCCACTATGCCCTCTCCCAGCTCTGGGGACTGAAGCTTATTCAGTCAATGCACTTCTCTACCACTCACCCAGCAAAATGTGTGACTTTCAAGCTCATAGGAGCCCTGGTATTTGGGTGTGAAGTGCCTACCAGGGGCATTCAGGTGGGCACTAGGTTAAGTCCTGTGGCACTGATAGTGCACTCTTAGGGGTTCCTGTTGCATGCCCATTAAACCCAGTTCTAACCAGCCCTGTAAACACATGAGCATGTAAACAAAGAGGAAGGGCAGTCTTAATCCATTTTCTGTTGTCATAACAGAATACCCAAGGGCTGGGAAATTCATGAAGAATAGGAGTTTATTGGCTCACAATTCTGAAGTTCTGGAATCTGAGAAGTCTAAGACTGTGGCACGGGGATTTGGTGACTGCCTTCTGACTGGGTCATCCCTTCCTATAAAGGCTCTCATAGCATCATGGGTGCCCACCCCCATGACCACATCTAACCCTCATTCCCTTCCCGCACAATCAGCACATGACTTTGGGGGTTCAGTTTTCCATATATGAACTGTGGGGACACATTCAAATCATAGCAAGGACTGGTAGCAGTGTTACCAGGTAGTTACTTTAAAAACAGCTCACCAAACAGCAGTGTTCTGGGTCTCTCTCATCTCAAACAAGGAATTGCACAAGACAAACTAAGCATGTTGCCAAAATCTATTTTAAAATGTGAGGTGAAGGGGAAAAGGAAGACTTAGTTCTGCGGAGCA